GTTGGTTCTGTTTTCCAGATGTTGACGAATGTGCCAATGGTCCTTGTAAGAACAGTGGCAAGTGCACTAATACCCCAGGAGGGTACAAATGCGCGTGTGTCGGGGGATGGTATACAGGGAAGAACTGTGATGAAGGTGAGTCTCGCCAAAGACTACGCATAAACGTCAAGTTGTCCAGTGAATATGGTGAAGTCACGTTACAGATACGTCGAAAGCTGGGCATCTATTGTGCGGTTTGTGTTTTTGAAAACGAAGATGACTTGGAATGGCTAGTTGCACCTGTAACATCTTCTAGGTCTTCATAGAACGACGTCTTGAACCGCGTTGTCCAATCATAATCTTACAAATCGTTTCAGCAGATTTCAGCCCTCCTCCTTGACACGAACAACTCGTTATTGAAGGCGCTTTTAGTTGGGGCCGACAATATCTGCCAGTTACTTCGCTCGTTTTAGAAACACTTTTTATACTGGTGATGGGTTTAGCGGAATGCCACAATATCTTGAAAACTTTGTTTGCCTTTCCCAGTCTGTCTCATTCTCTCCCAACATTAACCATCAAGTTTTAATTAACTTTTCCTTTCAGTGTTGGCATTTCTTCCTTGGTGTTTTTGTACCTTAGTTACCTATTATTCTGAGTTCGTTTGTTGTATTTGTCATTAAACAAGAACAGTCACACACTTCTTTTTTTACTGATCTCAAACGCAGCTCCTACTGAATGCATTGTGAACACCAAACTCAGTGAAGCTAATCGTGCCTCGGGGGTCTTGAGAAGAAGCTTTCTTAAATGCGACCAACGGAATCTACCAACAGTCGGAAAATGGCATCAATTTGTCGGAGATGCCGGCACCAAGATACCCAACTCCTGTGTCCCCACTCAGCGTTGCGGTACCCACGCTCCTGGATGGATGCAGGGCGATCATCCCAAGAAGGAGGACGGAGTGGTCGACAGAAAGGTTTGCTTCCACTGGAGCAACAACTGCTGCCGATGGAGTGTCGTGATCAAAGTGCGAAACTGTGGTGGTCATTACGTGTACAAGCTGGAGAAGCCACCAGCATGCTATCTGCGGTACTG